GCTTTGACCCATTTAGCCTTGAACTTTCATGAATTCTTAGGTAGGAAGATTTGGTGTATGGAATTTAAAGTATCAACTTGGTATCCCAAACTGAGAAATATGAAGATTCGATGCCTCAAGGTGATAAGTTGACTAGTTTTTACGTTTGACTACTTTACGTTGTTTATGCTTTAAAGTATGGAAATATTGTTTTACCTAAAATATTTACATTATGGACAATACTACAACCATATGATACTTGAAATATTGATATGGTTAAATCTTCTGAAAGTTTGCTTCAAACTCCAAACCCAGTCCACCTGTCTTGACGAATTAATTCTAAGAATGAGCAAGTAGAGTATCGACAGTTTCTCTTATTATCGTAATTAATTATCGTTCGTTCTTATAAGTGTTGCAGTCAGCGAGCCAATCGAATTTTGATACAATTTTATTGCGGCGGTATTTGAAACGGCGGAAGTATGCGTGGCCGGAGGCGAAGGAACTCTGGCGAAGAGAAGAACCCGTGGATTTCCGCGAACGAAGAGAGGGAATGGAGAAGTTCTGCAACAATTACTATCGCAAGGACGATAATGCGTGGCACTTGCTGCCGACCGGTTGCATGCCAGATGGCCAACACGATTTTACCAAGAATGTTATGAACACTTTAACGGACGGCCGACCGTTTAACAACATCGCATCCGAGGATTATGATGGCAGTAAATTGAAAGATACCAAGAGGCTAATTTTTATTTCGATTCCGAAGCGAAATTGCCCCGACGGCAATCGATAAAATTTTCGTTTTTATATCTTCCCGCATATAGTAGCGCGTTCGAGCTTCAATTTCGTATTTATCGCGGGAAGATTAGCGAAGCCAACCGAGACCGATCCTTATTTCGATTGTTAAATCAAACTGTTGCTTCTGTGGACGATAAAATTTTGATTTCTGTATTTCCTCGGACGTTTCATGACTTCTGCGGGATTCGAACTTCGAGACTCGAACATCTTTTATGGGGCTCTAAACTTCGAACTTTGCTGCTTCGCGGTTACGGGCGTGGAACTTTAACTGTAACAATGCCGTAGGCTTCCGACATGTGAGAAGTCAGCCGTTAGATTCAAGGTTTGTGGGTTTATTATCACAGAAGATGAACTTTGAGGAGTTTAAACATACTCAACCTTGAACTTGGAAGAATTTAGGTGCATCAAGACTTGAACTTGCATGAGTTTATACACATGAAGCTTGAGTGAGTTCAAGTTCCCCAATGTTTAAACTTGGACAAGTTTTAATATCTCAAGTTTTTAACTTTGATGAGTTGTGAAACCTTGTCTGAAACCTCACGAAGATACATTGTCTGAAGATTTAAAGAGATGATGAGTTACCCACAAATTCGGATTTTGATGATTTTTGATGCATCAGTATTTGATCCTTGACATGAATAAAAATATTCTGAATTTTGGACCTAGACATATTAGCTCCTCAAACTTTTACAATTGACGAGCTTTGACGCTTCATGTTACAATAACCATGTCTAATAATGTGAACTTTGAAGCCTTAAACCTCCATTATCTTCTCATTCAAACCTCAACAAGTTATAACAGCTGAAGCTTTTAATGCTTCAAGTTTCAAACCTCGACGATTAATGTCTCCTCAAATCTTGACTCTCAAAGACACCTAAAGTTTTAAACCTTGTCTCAACCCTCTCATATCAAGCTTCGAAATCCAAGTTATAGCAGCGTAAACTCGCACCGTGGAACCCCGTCTGAAACTTCGATTCCCGAGTTGTTACAAAGGAATTAACAGTTAACATTCTTCTCAGCGGTCCTGACAATAAACATTCCTGTGGAAAGAATAAAATCGCTGAAAGATCGGAGTGTGTTCCGAGGAACAGTAATAACACGCGCAATGTTGCATCGATGGAACCACGGTCGTATGGCGCAACAACCGACGAAAGAAAGGGGAAAAAAAAGGAAATGAGTCCTGGTTGGCGAAAGATCGAGTTAATATTCAACCAGGTTTATCCATAAACTCCGTTTAACTGCGCGTAACTGCACGTCTCGGACACAATTTGATATCTTCACGAGGCCTCAAGCCGAACCCGGTGGACCGTGCGTTTTCTACTGGACACATTTCAAATGGGAACATTCGAGTTCACGACACGTCGACGCCAATCGCCGTTTCTCGGTATCTTCGATCGTAATGGAGCTTTACGAGATCCGTGGACCACGAAAGAAGACACGGGAACACCTTCGGACGCGTTAATCAATCGAACTCGGGCGATAAGTCTGCGGGTGACGCGTTTTTCCGCGATGAGGACCTCGAGAGATGCCAATTACTGGCTTCTTTTTCACTTCACTGAGATTCGATGGGAAATTCACTGCTAAATCCGAAAAGAATGGGAAGTGCAACTGTATCTTTACGTTTCTAGACATTTTGGAGTTCACAAACATGATTTTCAAGTCTTCTTACCTTCATGTTATGGATTCTCAAATTTTATAGTTCAAAATGGTAAAAGTCTGCAAACTCAAGTTACCAAACTAAACGTTCAGATTTTCACGAAACTCCTCAAGAAATTTTGCCAAGAACTTTCCCAAATCTCCAGCACCAAAAATTTCATCTTGAAGAAACATGAAATATTTCAAAAATCTTTTCTGAACCCCGTCTGTCAACAACAAAAATAAAACGCACCTTTTATTCTCGAGTTCGTATTTCTCTTTTTCCGTGATTTTACAGCGTAACGAAGTGTCCGCGTTAAACGAGGAACATCCTAAACATGCAAAGCGTTCGAGGGGTTCAAATTGAAGATGGCGTTAGGGTAAATGTAATTATCGCGCGACGACTGGCTGCGTCGGTCGTCACGACGGAAAGTGAAGAACCAAAATGGAAGAAGACGAGGAAAACTTATAATTACCGACCTCTCATCCGCGATTAATCATACGAATAACAGGTTCGGGAATAAAAATCGCATTAACCCACCTGTCGGCCGATAAGTTTGCACAAGAAGATTAACGAGCTCCATCGTCGGTGTTCAGGCGAAAGTGCGGCTGCATTCCAATTTGTCGCGCCGTTTCGGGTCGGCCCGCCATTTCATTAGCTAACTTTACGCTTTCAATGATACGCAAAACAAAAGATAAATGCATCGAGTCGATAACACTTTGAGTACACTGATGTTCTTACTTTCACATTGGATCAATTTTTATGTCATTTGAATCTTCGGTGATTTTGAGGAGCTTTGAAGTCTGAATGTTAGAGTCTCAAGGTTTGAACTTTGGCTGAGGATGATGTCTCGTACTTTGGATCTTCAATGATTTTAAAGACTCAAGCATTGAAATCTGATGAGTCTTAACATCTTAAGGTTTCAACTTTGGCTGAGGATGATGCCTCATACTTTAAATCTTCAATGATTTTAAAGACTCAAGCACTGAAGTCTGACGAATCTTAGCATCTCAAGGTTTCAACTTTAGCTGAGGATGATGTCTCATACTTTAAATTCTGCAGAGTTTGAATGCTTTCAATTTTGAGTTCTGATGTGTTTAAACACTTGAGGCTGTAATCTCTAATGTGTCCAAACATTTCAGGCTTTGAACCATATCAGATTTTGACTTCTACAATCATCTACTCTTTCAACCTTTCAAACCTAATCCTGCCAATAAATATTGTTACTTGAAATTTTCATCTTACATGGTTTTAACATTGATAAGTTTCCACATGTCGCGTTCTAAACCTTGAGGAATTCTAACATTTAAAGGTTTGATACTTTTGACGTTGTGATGCAGGAGACAAATGTATGGAGTGAACAATTGTGCATCTAACGCACAGCTGTTCCGAAGTTTGAGAGGATAAATGCAATTTTGCACCGAGTTCTGTGACGGGAAATGCACCCGCTGCGTTTGTGCATACCGAATGAACCATGATGGAATCGAAGGATTTGGTTGGCTTAGGCGATCAAAGGCCTTCAAAGTGTACTCTGAACGCGATGGTTAAACGCGAACACACGATGTGCAATGAGTTTCCACCGCGATTCATAAGACGAAATGATTGATGGAGTAACGTGAACTTGCGTTGCATTCAGAAACGCGGATGTTACTTCGGTTCATAGGCAATTATACTCTAGGGAAACTAAGATTATGAGGTACCATAAGCACCATTTGCTTGTAAATCAATATATGCAAGTAAGTATGACTCGATAGAGAGCTGCCTAACGAGTTATTCAACGCGCGCGGAAGGATACGAACAGAAATTAACGATTATGATGAATGTATCGTAATGTAACCAAATTATACTGGAATTTTTCGACTCTCGTTAGCTAGAGCGAGTCCTAAATTCTTTTGGACAAGGACGAATTCTGAGCGCATCGCTGTGTCAACATCGTGCAATTAACCTAACAAGTACAATGGTAAAAGTACTCCTGCAATGTACACTTAATTTAGAACCGGGATTATACTTTAGCTATTTTTTAGTTTGTCAAGCTTCGTATTTTTAGGTTCTTAGGTTTTAGAATTTTAGTTTCAAATTTTGAATATTTTTCTTTTTCAAGTTTCGTGATTTTTTTGGGGTCTATGTCGCCAAGTATCAAGTCTCAAAAGCATAAGACTCACAAATCACTACATCTGTGAATATGCTCCTAAATTCCTAGATTCACAAATACCTAAGTATCTCTACATCCCTAAATCTGAAGATCTCTAAATAACCTACATTCCCAAATATTCAAATCCCGAAATGAATAAATGTAAAAATTCCATATTTCTTGAAGGCAGTTTTTCTCTCGACTGTACCACGGTTAAATTATGCAGAAGATGCAACAAAGCAACATTTTTTCTTCCGTCGTTGCCTAATAACGTCTACATTTTCCAACGTAACGAGTACAGAAACAAAACCATCCCAGAGTCATGTAATCAGCACGAGTCTAATAATCCTGGATGCAACTGGGACACAAATAATTTAATGGCCGACTCGCGGACAACGGGTCTATTTGACGAATCGTGATGAAACATGCGGTTTCGAGAAATATGCCAAATGACAGGTAATGGGAGGTGTTCATATAAAAGGCGTTGTCGTTTTCGTTGCTTGCAAACGCGAACTGATTATGCAGCCATTGAAATGGGTACGTAGCTTTTCTAACTCTTTGTTACGTGGTGTTTTCAATCTTGAATTTCAAACTTTTACAAATAGCAAATATTAAATAATATCATAATAATTCGTATATTATATAATTCAAGATTTATTTAGATTTACTTTATTTACTATTTATTGAGATATTTAATTGTGTTACTTGTATAGTGGAGAATACTGGTGATAGTCACGTACGCCGCTGGGCAAAGTCTGCGGGTAGTTCGGCAAGAGGGGTACAGCTACAATGTACCAAAAGTATCTTCTCCTTTGTCGAATCCAGTGGCATTTAGTTACGGTTATCCGGCACCACCACCTTCACCACGATCTCCACCAGTAACATACTATCCTCCATTGAGATCTTCACTCCCACAGCCTTCACCACCTCTGTCACCAACTTACGGTTATCCCCTATCAAAACTTCCAGCACCACAGCTTCTACCTAATCCACCACCAACTTATGGTTATTCACCTTCGCGACCTTTACTGCCTCCGCCACCAACTTACGATCATCCCCTACCAAGTCCACCTCCACTGTTATCTTCAGCTTCTTCACATCCTCTACCGTCTACATACCTCTCACCTACCCTGTCACCACCTTCGTCATCTACAGGACAATCTACACCACCTTCTACACCTTCTGAACAATCTCCCTTATCTCCTCCACTTCCTCTGAGTTCACACCTTCCTCCTGCAAAATCTTCCCAATTTCCTCCACCTCCTTCGCATACGTACCTTCCTCCTGCACTGCCTCCTCCTTCTCTACCTTCACCAAGCTCTCCACTTTCTTCATCTCCTCCATCTACATATCTTCCTCCTGCTCTGTCACCTTCTCCACCGTCTCCACCATCTCCACCTTCACCTCCTCCTCCAACATATCTTCCACCTGCAAGCTCACCTCCACTCACCCGAATATCAACGCCAGCACCACCGTACCTGCCACCTCACGGTCAAGCTACTCAACAAACTGCAAGTTCTGCATCGGCATCATCGTCACCAAACGCGATGGAAATAATCGGACCAGCTGAAAATTATTCTGCTGCTTCAACTACATCTGGAGCTAACGCTGTTACACAGTCCATTGAGCCAGCATACGCTGAGGCATATGGTTATTCAGCACCAACCACCAGCCAGGCGTCTACTGTCACTTATAATTATTCTAAGATAAGTTATCCAGCTTCTAGGATAAGTTATCCTGCACCTGCACCCGCATCAAGTTACCCTGCTCCTGCACCAAATTATCCTGCTCCTGCTCAGCAGCCGGTTATCTTCCTACGCTGAGTTAATTAGCAATGTACCATGTGTTATTGTGTATGTTGCGTAATTGTGTAAAATGTTCTATAGAAAGATGTTATATGGTATACTGCAGAAATGTAGTTGTGTGTTGCTGTTGCAATTTTTGCGGTTTTTATGAAGTAGTTAACACCGTTGGTAGAGATGCAGGTTGCATTTGACTTGTTTCCTACGTTTTGGACAATGCGATAGGTTGTGGATGTATAGTGCTTGTTATAGACGAAACTGTATTAATTTGCAATGTATTTGTATAATTAATTATTTAAAGTAAGTAAACAGTTTGATTAGGAAAAAATAAAAGTCATGAGTATGTGTTCCTATCACTCATCATAACATCCTCGACCTGTCACAAATTATGACTAATTTACAAGAGTCGCTTCTGACATCAATAAATAATAAATCTTTCGCAATGACGTGCTTAATTACAGTAAATTAAGCCAATAAAATCAGTGTTAATTGAATTTTCAAAAAATGGAAATAGTAGCGCCATCTCTCCGGCGAACAGGGTGAACTACACGGTTTTGAAACTGTAGTTTCATTAGTTCCCACTCACTGGCACTAGATGGCGTTACGTATATCTTTTTCGGTTTAATTCTATTAAAACTAGGTCTGCTTGATTGAATAACCTAACAATGCTTAACACGCGTTAAGGAAAAATATAAAAAGTAATATTTCGCAACTTTGACGACGTAATATGCTTCTTTAGACATTTTGAAGCAATTTTTGTTGAATAAGTTATTCTTTTTTTTGCCTATTAAGCCCAGAAAATCAATTTTTATTTGACCCCTTTACTGCGTATTCGGACATACGTTTTTCCAGTTTAGTTCGCAGTTTCGCCGCTAGATGGCGCCACAAATTTTCTCCATAAAATGACATTTTTTTTATTTTCCTTATTAAAGCCTTTAGGAAGCTATTATTGCATTATTTTGCTTCTAATGCGATCACATAACACTTTCTGAGCCTCAGAAGTACTCAAAGTTCGCTAATTTTCGAGAAAATCACATTTTTATATTTTTGTAGTTCCAACTTTCACCGCTAGATGGACGCCAATTTTTTAGTCCAGAAACTGCACTATTTGTATATGCAAAAATTTGTAGTTTTATATTTCTTGTTATTCTGTCAATAGAATTTTATATTTGTATTTAATAAAGACAACACATGTAGGTCCGTTTTGGATCTGAAGTGTATTTTAAAAAAAAAAAAAAAACTGTCATATAGGGATTAATATAAAGATGGCAAAAAATTTTCCCATTGCTTGACCGCACTAATTATGCTATTTTCGTACAAATTTAAGTCTTTTTTCAAATTAATTAACGATAACATTTTAATATTTATATAATAAGAATCAATATGTTTGCTAAGAGTAATAAAAACCTACCCCCTTGGTCACTACCTTTCTTCAGCAAAGCTAAATTTGGTCTTGAATATACAATATATGGTAAAGGTCGTAATGGGAAATAATACTCTCAATGTTACATTCACACACCATACTTTATATTTGATACATAGCTTTAAATGTTTAGGGAATATTGAATAATCTATATACCACTTCTATTTTAGTTTCATAAAATCATGAATAAATGTTATGTTAAGCTTAACATTTTAAAGAACCTTGTGTGTTCCCAACAACAGAGTCATTTATATAACAATACGAATAAAATATAATTCAGTACTTATATTAAACTCAATAAAAGAATTTTGACAACTCGAAACAAAGAATTTCTAAAATGTGCCTGACATATCTACACATAACTTTTGTCTGGTATTTACACGTACATATCCCAGACAATAAATCAGACTTTTAAAACAAGTACCCAAAATTTTCATGCTTTTAATTATCTTTGAATGTTCATTTATGTTTTGTTTAATGATACAGACAACACTCTTCTTGTATATGCAAAAAATGAACCGATTATTAGGACTCAAATGAAATTTCCATTATATGTAACATAGGGAAAAGATCGCTACTAGGCACTATCTTATTTTCATATCTTACTGTCGTCATCAATGGAGTAGATATAATACTACCTACAATTTCCATAAGAAAATGAAAGATACATACGGAAGTTTAGATGTCCTACAGTTGTAACATATAAACTACTTAAAGTTTACGTGATCGGTCGATAAATCTGGTGATAAAACAATGATTAGTTATCTATATCTGTCAAAAATGCGTACAGGTAAAGTTTTGAATTTATAAAATCGTAATTAAAAGTGCACTCTTGTTTAAGATAGAACTTGAAGGTTTAAAACCTCAGCTCCACTTAATATCCACTGTACCTTGTAATTGTTTTATACAAGAAAAATTCATCCTTCCATTTGTTGAAGTTTGTCTTCCAGACTGTCCTGGCTCTCATTAGCATCATTTAAACTAATCGTATGATTCTCATGGTCAAGTTCTATCACAGAGTCTGACAGTTGACTCTTTTGCACCTCTAACACATTGTCTGAAGGTTCAAAGATATCTGTAGATTCTGAAAGATCTTGTTCATCTAAAGTTAAATTTGAATTCTGTTCAGGTTGTTCAATGACTTGCTCTTCAGGTTCAGCTTGTTCCATTTTAATATCAGATTCTTGTGTGTCCAATACATCCATTGCAACAGAATTTTCCAGCTTAATATCCATTTCTTGATCCTGAGATTCTGCTTCAATAATTTCTTCTTTTGTTACATGGTCATTTGCATTGGAAGGACCGGCTTGTGCCTTGTCATCATAACTCTTTTGAGAAGATTCAGCAAGAGGAGATATTTGGGCAAGATTATTTAAAACTGTTTCTTGCATCTTAGCTACAGTTTCAGCTGAATCTAACATATTACATAATTCTCTATTCATTTCTTCCACTTCCGATTCATTTGTTTCTTCTGCCTTCACGACAATAATTTTCTTATTTCCATAAACCTTGGAACTGGTTATCAATGGTTTTCTACCATTAGTAACTGTCGATGTTGTTGTTGTTGTTGTTGCTGTAGTTACCAATTTTGGTGTTACTGGAGTCTCTTTCTGTACAGCTTCTGTTTGCTTTACTTCACTTACAACCTTAGGTTTTTCCGTTTCCGCTTTAGATTCAACTGGTTTCTTTGTTGTAGAAGTTGTTGTTGCAGATGTTGTTACCGTCGCAGTTGTAACAGCTGACATATCATGATCAGTGTATTCTTTTTCTTCGTCGTACATACTCTGCTTCTTCTTTACAAACACTCTTTTCAATGGCAATTGTTGCTCATCGTCAGATTCGTCGTGGCGTTCTGGTGACAACTCCTCGGTAGGTTCATATTCTTGTTGCTTACGTGCCTCCAATTCTTCTATTTTCAAGCGCTGCTGTTCCACTCTCTTCTCCAGTTGTTCTAGTTTCTCTTTCGTTTCTTGGTCGCCTTGTATCAGTACAGGTTTCGATACAGTCGTTACAGTTGCTTTTGATACTGTAGGCGATGCACTTGTGGATTGAGATGTTTTTAATTCAAATTTGGAAGGCTCGTTTATCGAAGTTTCATTCTTTGCTGTGTTAGGTGATTGCTTTATGTCCGAGGTTGATTGTAGTACAGCTTGAACAAGATTTTGATGTTTGTCAAGAGGTTTCTTCACAACAACCCTTTTTACAACATTGCCAGTTGGCAGTTTAGCTAATTCTGCTGGATCTATTATGGTACCATCTGGATTCATGATAACTTCCCTCGTGGTGTCGCCTTGACGAATGATTCTACGAACGATAACTCGTTTCGTAACTTTATGTCCGCCAACTGTTTGGCTGCTACTTGCAGCCAAATCTCCTTCCTTTATTGCACTTGTGCTAGTTGATGTTTCAGTATTTCCACTCGGTTTTCTTACAACGATTCTCTTTATTACTTTAATAGTATTTATAGCTTTTGGTGTACCACTAGCCGATGCAGATGATGTATCTAATTTTTCATCTTTAACAGAAACTTGATTCTGTGAGTTACTTTGACCTTGTTGGGGTTTCGCTTGATTTGGAGTAGTAGGAGATTCTTTATTTTGTTCTTGAACATTTTGATGCTTCAACGGAATTTTGTGTTCTTTAAACACGGATGCAACAATTTTTTGGACTTGTGCTTCAGTTTCGTCTACACGAGAAGGTTTCGAAGATTCTTCATTTTGCTTAGACTGTGAAGGTTTTGCATTCGACTGAGGTTGGTTACTAGGTGGACTTTGCTTTAACTTTGGATCCTGTACTTCCCTACGTTGAATAGGCATCAATGTTTTAATTGTCTTTTTGATCATATTTCCGTCTTTGTGTCTTACAAACACAACTTGCTCTTTTTGATTTTCATCTTTCTCTGATCTCTCTTGTTCCTCCTCACTTTCTGCTGGCTTAACTGGTTTTGGAAGCTTTTTCACGATGTATGCTGGTGGTTCATAATCATCATCTCCATCAGAGTATTGTTCCTCCTCTTCATCTTCATCAGAATCTAACTCCAGTTTTGTTTTACTGTCTGGTTGTAATCCATCTGGTCCCATTTTTTCACCAGCTTCTATATGTTGTTTTATATGCGTGACATAATCTGCCCTATTTCGACACGACTCTTGGCAGACGTCGCATGTCAACCCCATACCCGTGCGTTTCGTGTGCGTTAGTTGATGTACCTCTAAGCTCTCCTTACGTTTAAATGCTTTTCCACAATCTTCGCAAACGTGACGCTTTTCTACAGAATGTGTTCGCATATGTCTAGTTAAATGATGAGATAGCAGGAATGAACGAGGACAAAGTTTACATAAATATGGTCTATGTCCGGCATGAGTTGTTAAATGACGAGCTAATTTCGTGCTTGTATGGAATGCTTCCTTACAATATTCGCAATTGAACGTCTTGTCTTCATTATGTAGCACCTCATGACGTTCTAGACCTTGCTTATATGTAAAACGTTTATTACAAATGTTGCATTGGAAGGGTTTTTCTTTTTTGTGCATGGAATCTTCATGTTTTTCTAATTCTTCTGTTGTAAAGAATTCACGATCGCAATGTTGGCAACCATAACGCAATTCATCTCTATGAACTTTCTCGTGTCGCTGCAGCAAGTTGGCTCTTGAGAATTGCTTGTTACAAACTGGACAAGTGAATGGCTTGTCCTCCGAATGTGTTGTCATGTGTTTCCCAAGATCATATTTGGAAAAGAACATGCGGTCACATTCTGTGCACTTATAATTACGATCACGATGAGCTCTTTGAGTGTGCAAAGCAAGGGCTTGACGCAGAGGGAAAGTACGATCACATTGATCACAAGCATGTACCCTTATTTCACCTGGTTCTAACTTCTGATCATCTTTAGTGTTATTCATCTCTTGATCACCTTCGCTACCATTATCTTGCTCCTCTTCATAAAAATCATGCTGCTCTTCGTTTTCTCTCTGTTTTTCTGCTTGTCTCTCTCTCTCCCTTCCTCTGTCTCTATCCCTCTCTCTTTCTCTTTCTCTTTCTCTTTCCCTTTCCCTTTCTCTATCACGATCCCTGTCACGTTCCCTGTCCCGCTCTCTTTCTCTTTCTCTTTCTCTATCCCTGTCTCGTTCTCGTGCTTCTCGTCTTTCCCTGTCACCATTATCAACTCTAGGCTTTTTAGCTCCTTCATTTTGCGACCTTTGTTCAGAAGGTCTTTTATTGTTCATATCAGGTGGATCAGTTGGAATTGGTGGAAATGGTCTAGGCAAAACACCAGACAATGGATATGCTCTTAACGCTTCATCTGCTTTTTTGCACTGAAGTTTAAATTTGTAGGAACGATCCAAATTCCAGCGACACATGTTACATATCATTTGTGGCATTCCATCAGCAGCATATACCTTGAACACAATGTTAATGTATTAACAATCTAAAGTACATAAAAAACAAAAAAGGAGAACACATATTTTAAATGAAGATATAATGTTAGAAAACAACGTTTTATCTAAAACTTTTAACTATAAGAAAATGTAGGAGAAAATATAGTATTAAGATATTCAGAATCTAAATCTCATATCAAGAACAAAATATCTGTTTAAAACGTAATGAAATCGTTGAAAATGTGAAAATCGTTTTCCCGCTAAAATCAATGTCAAGTTACTCCAACAAACAAATCATTTTACAAGGTAAATCGATAAGAACAATTGTTTTAAAATCGTACTCATTTGTACATTAACAAATATCGATAGTAGAGAATGCCGCAATGATTTGAAATTTTATATTTTACCATCACAGCGTTTAAACAAAGTTATCGATGACGCGCGACCTATTTCAATTTCATTTAAATAGCAACAGGTATAGAAAGCGGCGAACTTGAAATTCTTTATCGTTTATCAGCAAGTACGCCGCAAAGGATTTATTTATTCAAATAACGAAAGAATAATAGCGATCGAATTTTTACACGTTGAAAGCATTTGGCTCGATCGGCAAACAAGATATCTTCGTTATCCAGATCATTAGTTTATTCGACTATTCATTTCATTCGGTGAAAGATATCAGTGATAAGAAATAGTTCCACAGAGGACCATTTCACGAATACAAAATGAAAGTAACGTATTACTCACAATGGCAATACAGAAAAAATTGTCTTTGTCAAGAATATGGTATGAAAGGTACAGAGAGAATGAATCGGTGGCGGTCGACATCGTCTTCAAAGAAAATAATTACCTCTATGGCGACGCACGACATGATCTGCAGGGTAAGCGGTACTTGAAACGGTTTATTGGGATCCCTTTCATAAATGAAGTTAAGTGGTTCCGATTCTGTCAAGCAAAATCGACAGACCCGCCTGGAACGGAGCGGCGCCGGCCTATTCTCCATGTTTTCTTGACTACCGTCCGTGCAGACACCCACAAAGCACACTCAAGCGTCTCTCAGGTTGTCCTTCCTTCGAATCTCCTCGATCGTTGTTTATTTGAACACACTGTAAGAATAACAGCTTAATTCGATTCTAATGTTCGTTAATCAGAATTCTATGAAACGACGCCGAGCGTCGGTAAGCGTCGCGTCACGAACAACGAATAACCGCGAAGAAGTACACACCACTATGGCGCTATTATGGCCGTCCGAAAACTCGTTTCCTCTGCGTGGCGTCTTCGAACTTCTGTGACTCGTACAGCTTCGGCCTTTGCACATCAGCGCCACCGTCTTCCTCTTTCTTTCGCGGACAACCACCCGGATGATCTATCGGTAAAACAGTTTCGAAAACGTGGTCGAAACTCTGTCGGTACTTTCAACATTGTTGTAAAATTATTTCTTCCCGCTAAAAAAATAATAAACGTTATATAATTTTTAAAAGATGTCTTTAATATTTTAATAGTTTATTTGTACACTAGAGTAGAATGTAGGTTTGCTTGAGTTGAGGATGAGAATAGGAAAACCACTTGTTTTTGATTTTAGATTAAAAATTTAAACTTAGAGATTTTTAAATTTTTATATTTTTAAAGTTTCAAATCCTCAAATTTTTAAATGTTGATTCCCAAAATTTTTAAAAGCACAAATCATCAAATTATCAAATCCTCAATTTTCTAAATCTCTAGATTTTTAAATTGAGATTCGAATTTGTAAATTTTCTGAATTTGAAATATTTTAAATTTAAACACATCATAGTCTCACAACTTGTAACACATATTTTGTAAAATAGATTACTATTGAAATACTTGTAAAATATAAATTATAGCAATTGAATGACGTTACACTCGAGTATCGATATCTCGATTTGATCCTCGAATTTTGGTTATTTTGATAAGAAAAATGTTTTCCTTTTAATTTTTACCCAATGCGAAAATGAATCGTTTATTAAACTGGAGGATACTACGATGCTACAAGAAGCGGAGACAACAGAATGCCACCACCAACCTGGAATCCTTGCGACGTGATATCGAAACAGACGTTCACCTACAATCTGCGGAAGATTTATTGCAAAGTCTGCAAACCAATGCAACGCGTGGCCTATCCACGGTTGCTGCGCGCGATCTCCTGAACAAAAGTGGACTGAATGCACTGACACCACCGAAAAAGACTTCTAGCGTGTTGAAATTCTTAAACCGTTGCTTTGGAGGATTTTCCGCGCTGATTTGGGTACTCAGATCACATTAAATTCTTTCCTTTCTTCTCTTAATTTAAATGAAAAAATGTAATTTTTACGGCCAAGTCTATTATTCTTGAAACTGTAATTTGAATTAAATTACAGTTAATTTAGTAACTGTATTACACTAAAGATGTCGGGATAGTATGGAGATAATTAGACAGTAAATTTATTAAAGGATACAGAGTGTGTAAAAATTAGACTATTACGTGGATTAATGTTATAGACAAGAAATATTTTATTTAACCTGTAGTCTAGTTACAGTTATCAAATGTGATTGAAGTTGACTAATTCGAGCTGAATTAAATTCTCTGACATTTATAAATGTCATGTATGATTTATTTATTTTTAGCGTCTCAGAAGGTTTTTAATTTTTGAACCTCAGAGTAGTATTTTGATTTTTGTAATTGTTTTAATTGCATTGAATGAGGTTTATCGTTGCCTTCCCAGGTGGGTGCATTGCTCTGTTTCTGCAATTACCTGCTGGAACAAGGAACATACGGCGAAGCGTCGAAGGAGCATCTAGGAATTGGTATCGTGCTGGTCAGCCTAACTGTAATCACGGCAATTTTTAGCCAGTATCAAGAATCAAAGAGCTCTCGAATCATGGAATCGTTCCAGCAAATGGTACCGCAGAAAGCGAAGGTCCTGAGGGACGGTGAAAAGAAGGAATTGAGCGTGGCCGAATTGGTTGTCGGGGACATTGTCCTTTTGGAAACCGGTGAACGAGTACCCGCTGACATTAGAGTCCTGGAATGTCAAGGTAAATTCGTATCGTTGTAGTTGCAAGCGTAACTTTCTTATTTCTCGAGAAAAAAAGTCTTCGCCTTTCTCTTCGTCGACGCTCGAGATATCGTGTTGATTTTATTGTAAACACAATTTACAGAACCATCGAGTGTTCTCGGAATCAATCATTCAACTCGAGTGACATTAATAGTAGATTGTATTTACGATTGAAAAGACACGTTGAAGTACGATAACGTGAAAACTTGTTATTTTTAATAGTCTGGTAATTTCACGTTATGAAGCTATTCGTTTAAGTTTTTATGAAGTTCTGTTATTAAGCGATCAAACGTTTTCAACTGCATTTACATTCGATGATTGAAACGAGAACATTATTTTCACTTCTCAATTGAGAGCAATTTTAAAATTATTTTACCTTCATAAAATGCAATTTTCTTTCTTTACAATCCACTTCCATGGAATCAATTTTTCATGAATTTTAAAAACATTTTTTGTACTAAAGTAAAAGTATATGAAAGACCTAAATATGCAACTGAAATTCCGAATTGTTAAATATTTAAGTCTTTCAAATTTCCAACGTCTGAAATTTTGTAATTTCAAGGTTTGAAGGTGGATAATGCTTCCATCACTGGTGAATCGCTTCCACTTTTGAGAACAGCCAACGTTCATCCGGTAGATAGCGTTCTCGAAGCGAAAAACATGGTTTTCTTTTCAACAGACATAGTGGAAGGTAACCCAGAAGCAACAAGTACTCTCGCATTGCAAATATTTACATAAAAATTACCTATTTAGAATCGCCGAATTATAAAACTATTCAAGAAAATGTTCTACAACAACTTGCTATTAATTTAATAAATTAATGCTCTAAATTAAATGAATATAATCTATGCACTTCTATTATAATGTCTAAAAATTGTTGCACAACAGGAACCGGAAAAGGCGTCGTGGTAGCCCGTGGTGATCACACGGTGATGGGAAGAGTCGCAAAGTTGACATCGAAGTTGGCACCAAGGCCAACTCCACTTTCCCGCGAGATTCATCGATTTATGAAATTAATCTCCAGTTGGGCGATTTTCCTCGGAATCCTGTTCTTCACTTTGTCCATCGCTATGGGCTACACTTTGATCAACTCGATGGTGTTTCTGATCGGTATCATAGTAGCGAACATTCCCGAGGGACTATTAGCCACAGTGACCGCTAGTCTCACTCTAACAGCCAAGAGAATGGCAAATAAAAATTGCTTGGTAAAACGTCTGAAAGCTATCGAGACACTGGGATGCACTGCTGTTATCTGCAGCGATAAAACGGGGACACTCACTCAGAATAAAATGACCGTAAGCTTCGTTTACTATTGATGAAACTTAGTTATACAGGGTGATTCTCGAAATATATTTGACACTTGTGCATGATTGAAGTTCTTATCTGAGGATAATTTACACTCGAGTGTACGTTGGTTAATTATACACAGCGGCTCCGCCATGTTTGTGCAGAAAATTGAGACGAAAACTTGCATCGCTAAATAGTACAAACTATATCTGTATATTTATTGAGAGATTTATTTATAAGTAGTAATATAAGTAGTTACGTAAAAATAAATTTTTGAAATGACGTGAACTGATGATTAGACTATCAAGTCTAACCTCAAAAGATGGTCTTTTGAGTAATTCTATAATTTTGTTTATATGATTATATCCTTTTAGTATTAAATGTAGAATATAGTTTTTATAAAAAACTTTCAATGGTCGCTTTCATGGAAAGTTTAGTTCTGACAGGATCACCCTTCTTGTATCGCATTTGTATATGAGATGAAAAAACGGATTTTGTGTAATTAGGTGCGACACATGTGGTATGACGGTGAATTGCGAGAGGTAATGGCTTCCGACGGGTGGAGAAAATACATAAAGAATCCAGGGTTTCATAATTTAGCTAGAGTGGCTAGTCTTTGTAATCGCGCTGAATGGGCACCCTTACCTAAAAACAAACCAATGCCGCCTCTGCACAAGAGACAAATTTTGGGGGATGCTTCTGACGCTGCTTTGCTAAAGTGCATGACAGTGCTGGTGAGAGGAGGCGTGAATACTTACAGAAAAAGTTATCCAAAGGTGTAATATCGCAAGTGAAGCGAATCCCAAAATAACACGAATCTACCTTCCAAAAAACTTCCAAGTACTTTCCTTAATTCTCCCTTCACCGTTTTGATTCAGCTTTTCAAATATACCTGACGTTACGTATAAATGATACACTAAATACTAATATACAGTAAACATAAATACAGTCGGCAAAAATACAGTAAAAGCAGAAATTAATGTAAAATTAATGGAAATAGGACGTCTTTTAAGAATACTGCATTTGTACTGCATTTCTGCATTTGTGTTGTTTTGGAATTGATAATTTCTTTAATTTTCAATACACAATAAATGTAATAAGAAGTACTAATTTATGTCTGTGTATTTATGACGTAGGTGTTCGAAATACCATTCAACTCAACGGACAAGTTTCAGGCCAACGTCCACGTGCATCACAAGAGGCATTTTGTTTGCTTGAAGGGTGCACCAGAAACAGTTTTGGAACGATGCTCGACCGTAGCGTTCGGTAACGAGACAAGAGAACTGAATGACGAAATCAAGAACGCGTATACGGAATCTTGTTACATTCTTGCGAATAATGGCGAACGGGTACTTGGATTCGCGGATCTCGATCTGTCGCGTTCTGCTTTCCCTCTGGGTTTTCAGTTCAACGAGGATCCACCAAATTTTCCTCTTCACAATTTGAGACTAGTAAGCTCACGATAGAGACGTTAATATTGTTTTGTGCATTGTATGACATTTTTCGGATTCTTAAGTGTATTTATAACCAGGGACGACCGTAAACCGGAATCCTTTCCTGAATCATGTAGGAAATATGCAAACGACGAGTTGGGTGCTGTTTTATTTAATGGTATAATTGGTTGAAGGACGTTTGCCTTTTGTAGATTATGTTAAGATTATTGTAAGGTTAATGTAAGGTTATTGCAAGGTTATTGTAAGGTTACTTCAAGGTCATTTTAAGATAATTTTAAGGTTATGAAATTTTATATAATTTTATATTTATATGTGTAAGATTATTTCTACTTTCCAAATGTTCAAACTTCCAAATAGTTAAATTGCCACATTTTCTAAACTTCCATCCCTAAACAGTCATGACAACAGTTAACTGCATATTATTAAAATAACAGTAATATATAACATCAAGTAGGAATTCAAAGAACATAATTACTTTCAAGCCTATTCTAATTCACAAACAAATGGGCATGTTATCAGATCGGATTGATAGCGATGATGGACCCCCCGAGGCCAACAGTACCAGATGCATTGTACAAATGTCGTTGTGCCGGAATCAAGGTGATCATGGTAACTGGTGATCACCCTGACACAGCGAAGGCAATCGCGAAATATGTTGGTATCTTCACCGACGATAACCTCTTTCACAATGACAACGACAAAAAGCATTCGATCGTGGTAACGGGGATGGAGCTACGCGATCTACAGTCGGATCAACTGGACGGGATCATCAGACAGTATCCTGAAATCATTTTCGCGAGAACATCGCCTGTGCAGAAGCTTCAGATAGTGGAAAGTTGTCAGCGGCTTTATTTGATCACTGCGGTCACTGGTGATGGTGTCAATGACTCACCGGCATTGAAGAAGGCCGATATTGGTATTGCCATGGGAATTGCAGGTAACTTTTTCATATAATCTATTCAATTACATTATTGAGTTCCTTTTTATTACACTCCATTAAATATTAGTGTACCTCTTCTGTAAAATATTCTCAATGTTCAAATGAATATGTTGACTGCTGCAGTGGTGACACTAATAAAATTTGACCTGATAGTTCTGTTTAATTTAACATTGTTCAGTTGACTTAAGGAATGTTAACTAAGATGGGTATATTAGGTTCAGACGTGAGCAAAGAGGTCGCTGACTTAGTTTTATTAAACGACGACTTTGCATCGATTGTTACCGGAATCGAAGAAGGACGAAGAGTATTCGATAACTTGAAGTCGAGCATCGCGTACACCTTGGCTAGTAATGTTCCTGAAATAATACCATTCTTGGCGTTCATTGTTCTTGGGATTCCTTTGCCTGTGGGCGTGATCTGTGTACTGTGCATAGATCTGGGTACCGACATATGGCCAGCTGTGTCTCTAGCTTATGAAAAATCCGAATCAGATATTATGTTGAGGTACTTTCTTCTCTTAAAAATCTCAGTTAAAGAATTCTAATACTCCATATCAATCTTGAGATAAATTCTGTTTTTCAGAAAACCGAGAATACCCCATATAGATCATCTAGTCAGTCGTCGATTGATTTTCATGGCCTACGGTCAGATCGGCATCATCGAAACGTGTGCTGGATTTTTCACCTATTTCGTAGTGATGGCGGAACACGGTTTCTTACCCAGCAGACTATTAAACCTGCGTCCTCTATGGGACAGCAGCGTCGTAAACGACTTGAAAGACAGTTTTGGCCAAGAGTGGACATACGACCAACGCAAGGTTCTGGAATATACCTGCCACACTGCTTTCTTCGTCAGCATAGTGATCGTCCAGGTAGCCGACGTGATGATCTGCAAAACCCGACGGAACTCTCTTTTCCATCATGGCATGCACAACTGGGTCCTCAACGCCGGGATACTTTTCGAGCTCGTTGTAGCATACGTTGTTTGTTACGCTCCGTACATGGATCAAATTTTGAACACGTATGCGTTGAAATTCGAATGGTGGCTACTGGCTGTGCCGTACGCTGTGATCATTTTGATGTACGACGAACTTAGGAAGCTTTGGGTTAGGAGAAATCCGCGTGGATGGTGGGATCGGGAAACTTGTTACTAAATTTGGACTAAGTAAAATGGGAGATAAATATGAGATGCAAGCCTAAATGCGAAGGAGTAAAGAAATATAAACGAAAAGATGTATATAAATATATAAGAAGATATATACAAATATATCATCTGAGATGAATGCAAAGAAGAAGTCTTCAAAGAAGAAGAAAATCTGAAGAAGATAAACATAAAGCATAGATCCAAAGAAATTAAACATGAAGAAGTATAAATTTAAAAAAACATAAAGTAGGTCCAAAGAAAAATGCAGAGGAGTATACATATAAATAAAATGGAAGCAAAGTCTATAAACGACAAATAAAAAAGTGTATCTCATCTTAACCGAAACAAAATGGCCTCCTGGCAGGAAGAAATATGAGGGAAATGTAAACGCAAGAGATTGACCGTGTCTGCCGATAAGCTTTCACGATTTTCGATACTTTATGGTGAAAAATGGCCAAAGGAGGTGCGTTGTTTGATGTACAGTTAACTGGATGCATCTTTAACGGAGCATTCGTCCGACGCGAGTATGCAGAAGAGCAATGGTTCTCCTTTGGTTCTACGCGGTCATCGAGTGTTGTAACCTCATGGATGGAAAAGTGGGGGATGCATATAAGACCGTGGGACCCTCTCGATGAGGCCCAGTAGTCTCTAGTCATCAATTCCCTCACGTTCGAAGAACCGTGACTTGATTTCGAGATAACAAGACCGTATTCCCTTCTGGTCAATCCTGTCCTCCGTCAGGATGAAGACGGAGGTACTTTGCTTGCTAATCTGTCTCGGTGAGTAATTAAACGAGTACAACTGCATTTCGATAATTAGGTACATTGCAACATTTCAACTTTCTATAATATTATCAATCCTTTCTATGATTTCATGAAGGTATATATATGAACACATTTGAAGTGATCAAGTTTACTTTGATACTTTGACATTAAAATCAAAGTTAAAAAAAATGGAGTTTGACCTATGAATAATATGTTACATCCGTGAAGAATTTGAGTCGAAAAGAATTGTAAAGAGTGACAATAAGTGATAATGCGACATCTAGTTTGACTAGTGACCTTTAGCCGAGGTATTGTTTTACTCGTTATAAGAATGGTACAGATTCAGTTATTACGTCATTTTGATCAGCTGTTGCAATATTGTCGCAAATCTGTTTTGCAAAGTTCTTTTTAGAATGTTTACGAAAGTTGAATTTGATGTAGGAATTATGTTTCATTGGTAGTTTATGTGCGTATGGGTTAAAACAGTGATGGGAGATGTGCCCACTCGGGAGTTTGTGGGCACCGGTGTGCATAGTGAATGCACTGTGACGTGAAGTGCGATGAGGTCATGGAGATGCATAGGAATTTTAAATTATCGGATTTGGGAATTTGGGGATTGGAGAGTAGGGAGATTAGGAATACTGGAGATTTGAGTATTTGGGGAATTGGGAATTCGGGGATTTGGGGATTGGGGAATTCGGGGAATTGGAGAGTTTGGGAAATTGGAGAATTTGGGGAATTAGAGAATTTGCGAAATTGGGAAATTTGGGGAATTTGAGAATTTTGGTATTTGAGAGTTTAGGAATTCGGAGAATTTGGGAAATTGGAGAGTTTGAAGAATTGAAGAATTTGAGAAATTTGAGAATTTGGGGAATTTGAGAATATGAAAATTTTACAATTTGAAATCATGGAAATTTCAAAACATAGAACCTCAGAAATTTAGGAACTGAAGAACTTAGGAACTTAGAAATTTCAAACTAGAAGAGCTGCTTATAAAAATTTAAAAATTCTATCATAGAATTAGAAAAGTTCATTTAAAAATAGCTACGTTCTGCGTGTACACACGATATCTATTTGATCACGAAACAACTTACGCCATCCGTTGTTATTGAGAAATCAGTCCACCTTAAACTAATAGAAAGTTTAATTTCTCTATACCACGTGTCGGCTCGCAGCACGAGCAACAAATTAAACGAAAAGCGGTCTTCAATATTTATCAACTTGTCTATTTAATTAAACCCACTTTCCAGTCATGAAAACACTTCTGAGAACATGTTTACTGTGTATCTTTAGACATTTCTCAACTATTATTCTAAATTCTTATACAAACTTAATTGTATACAGGTTAAAATTAAATACTGGGTTGATAAAATCTATACACAAAATGAGTTCATGAAACATACAAATTATAGAAAAATGTTAGATGACTGATGAAGGTCGCTTTGGATACGCAATATATAACATCAATTAGGTTCTTTTCACCTATTAAATTATATAACAATGTTACATGGTTTTAATGCTGACAAAGGTCATTTTGAACATTTCTAACTCCAAGATAGACAATATTCAAAATCACCTCAACCTCTTAATTTTATGTAGCAACTCATACAATAACAACCTATATTTAATTATCACACCCTGCACAGAGCACCTCATTCATCCCCATAATTAAATGACAAAACCGCAACTGTTTCATAATTTCATTCATCTTAAATGGTACCACAGATTTCATGAAGAAAGTCACACATGAACACCCAGTATATTTGAAATATTCTAATTAGCTTCGTAGCTTCTCCATTTCTCGTTATCTAGGATCTTCAAAACGCACCGAGGCCTATATAGAGTGTTGGAAAGTGAACAGGTCTGAACGATTAAACGACATTTAAGTTCTGGCGAAGCAGTCGAGCACTTTCTCGCTTTCTTCCGTTCGCGAGGTCGACCGGCGCAGAGTTTACGCACAACCGGCGTTTTGTTCAGGGACGCAAGACGTCGCGCTGCCTTGAAAATACTGCGAGACCAGTTGACCCTCTCTCGCCATTCACCGTTTTTATTTCATCTTGTTTGCGATTCTTTCCCTCTTCTTTTATTTCTATTTCATTTGTTATTCCTGCTCGCCAATGCTGATACATCCGCATTGCACGCAAAGACGTAACTAGGACTTTACCTTTCTACTACGCTGACTTCCTTTCGATAAAAACATCGATACGAACGCTTTTAGATTGTCAAGTTATATTTCAAATTTGAACTTTCTTCATTTCATAGCAAATTAATCAATATTTTTCAAGTTGTACATTGTCAAACGTTTTTAAGCTTAAAATTCTCAAACTTTTTTAATTTTTATGTTTTCAAACTTTCAAGTCCCTGAATTTCTGGATGACTAAGCTGTAGTTCAAATTTTATTTATCAAGTTTTCAGAGTCCCAAATTTTTTGTTTGACTTCTGAATGTGGTTATCTGGTTCCACAATTTTTTGCACATTATGTATATCGATTGAAATAAAAAAATATAGTGAAACTGGTGACCAGGATGCTGGTAGAAAATAAATATTGCAGCAAGGTGATTGTCAATGACAAAATGGACACAGTTCAAAAATACTGTTAGGATTATTGGTGACTGAAATATCGTTCAAGATAAAAGATCACATTAAAGCAACTGATAATGAAATTGGTAAAACTAAATATTGTAGCAAGGTGACTGTCAGTGACAAAATATCAAGTATAGTATTAGTGATGGCAACTGAAGTATCCTTTAGACGTCATCCAAACTAAAATAATAAACTGAAACCGATAATCAACCACCTAGAAATAAATATAGTTTGTCCAAAAGAAAAAGAGAAAGACGTTAGTATAATGAGAGTAATTGAAATATTGTTTAGGCGTTGTCACCGCTTTAACGAGAAAACAAGAGGCAGCCGAGCAGAATCGTCGGAAGGCAGCTGTGCCAAGTTTGCAAAAAAAGCAACAAACCGCAGCGGAGGAGCAAGAAGAGTACGAGGACGAAGACGAACTTTCGGATCAATGTCCTGAGCCGAATGGTTACTTTCCTGACGCAGAACAGTGCGACAAATACTACGACTGTCGGGATGGTAAATTCACGGAGAAACTATGCCCAGATGGTTTGGTATTCAACGACTTCAGCCCGCAACACGAAAAATGCGATCTACCCTTCGGAATTGATTGCACCAAGAGGCCGAAGTTACGTAAGTATTGATTTCTCGTGTCGATTCACGGTATCCTCGTTACTTAAATACACGGATGTTCTTTAAAAAGTTCGATGCTGCGGAAATCGTAGAAACAACATTTAATTAGTCCGTTTTCATTCTTTGGAGTATTTCTCAATGGTAGAATGTTCATCAAGCTTTCGTTGCTAACTTTAGGAGATTAATTTACAGATCTTCAACTCTTTTATTCTTCAATTCACAAGTTGTTTTAAGTATATTAGAATTGTCAGATTATGTGGCAAAAATCCACAGAGAATTATTTCAAAGAATCATTTTTTGCTTATGTAATTTATTAGTTGAAAACGTATCTGATTGTACAATGTCTACAAAAGACGTACAATAAATGTATAAATACATAAGTGATTTTTGTGCAAAATTGTTATATTTTATGTATACAAATGCGCTTAGTACTTGAGCAACTTATACCACATTTATAAATGAATTTGTTTATTTATAAGAAAGATTATACGTATAAGTGTCTATGTATACTATGACCATGATATAATAATTAATAGAATAACCTTCATTTATGTACAGTTTCTTAATTTGTACACCTTACATTGACATTATTTTGTAGAATTATTTAGTGCTATTTAGTAGCACACATGCATAGAAGCACAATACATATACATATAATACATAGACATATGTACTTTTAACCTCCTTCTCTCTTCATACACATCATCAAAAAGTACGACCATGTTACCAAACAGCAAAACATTCAACAATATAAAAAACTAGTCTAAGAACCTTCTATAAAAAACTGACGGTGAATTTCCTTTGCAGAAAAACCGCAGCCATCACCGCATTGCCCAAGAATGCACGGTTACTTCGCCCACGAAGATCCTCGAAATTGCAACACGTTCTACTATTGCGTCGAGGGAAAGTTCAACATGATCACTTGTCCAGATGGTTTGGTCTTCTCCGAGAAGACGGGGATTTGTAACTGGCCCGATGAGGCCCAGAAGAAGGGTTGTGGATCTAGAGAGCTTTTCAACTTCACCTGTCCAAAAGTCGACGATTCTGTCGCTGCGACGCATCCTCGATACCCTGATACAGAAGACTGTCAGTATTTCTATGTTTGCGTGAATGGTGAGGTACCTAGGAGAAGCGGGTGCAAGCTGGGTCAAGCTTTTGATGAACGCACTGGAAAATGTGATTGGGCTAGGAAGATACCTGAGTGGTAAGCTGATGTAAAGTTTGTAGTTTGTGGGTTTGAGGATTTGGGGATTAATTTGGGGGTTTGGAGATTTGGGGATTTGAGGGACTGGGAAGGAAAGTTGGGATTTGAGGAATTAGGGGGTTTGGAGATTTGGGGATTTGAGAGATGGGGAGGGAAAGTTAGGGATTTGAGAAATTTGGGGGTTCGGAGATTTGGGAGGTTTGAGGAACGGGGAGGGGAAGTTGGGGATTTGAGGAATATGGGAGTTTGAAGATTTGGGGGATTTGAGAGACTGGGAAGCAGAGTTGGGGATCTGAGAAATTTGGGGGTTTGGAGATTTGGAGATTTGAGAGACTGGGAGGGAAAGTTACGGATTTGAAAAGTTTGGGGGTTTGGAGTTTTGGGGGATTTGAGAATTTGGAAACTTGGAAATTTTGGGGTTTGACAATTTAAAGACTTGGAACTTGGGAAACTTGACAAATTTACGGTTTTGAAGATTTGGAGAATTTGAGAATTTGAGACGATGGAAAATTGGGGAATTGAAACTTGGTGATTTAAGAATTTGGGGATTTGTAATAAATATAATCCAACAACCCACAACTCCTAATGCTACATGAGGACAATCAGCCTATAATTTTAATCGTATCAAGTTGAAGTTAGCTAATGATTAAAAGCTACTAATATTCGTTTTATAAAATTTTAGCAAAGACTGGTACAAAGGTCAACTGACTGACGAAGAGTTGGACGCCTTGGAACATCCACCGCCAAAGCCAAAACCCACTGGTGGTCCCAGCAGAAGAAAAGGCGGCAAACCAACGTAGATTTAAGACTAAACTCATGTGTATATTTTAATACTCATTGACATATTAAATACCACCTGGTGAATAAAACATTTTTAATACAATTGTTTTTTTAATAAAATTATTAAAATGTTACGTTAATCAACGATCCATGAATCCCATTGTTTGTGTATGTGTATTATGAGGATTACTATGCCAGTCTTAGGGCACAGTAAGATACTTTAGGGTTTTTAATACTTGCTGACATTAGTAAAATACTGTAAGTATTAATTGAAGTCACTAGTAAAGTAAATATTACTGAAGTGAATAGTAAAGTAAAATCTACTAAATTAAAATGCAATATTGTGATAGATGTTTCTTTTTTATCGAGTTCCTCAATTGTTGACGACCGTAACAGAACTAGCTTTCTTTCACTTTTATAACGAATTCTCATCGTCCGTAAATTTCCATTGTAGTGAAAGTGATTGATTCTTAGTTCCCTACATTTCACATGAAACGTCCAAAAACTTCATCAAACTGCACTAACACTTTTATGATAGATGTAGCATTTTCCTAATTATTAACGTGGAATTATGTAAGATACGCTCGATGTGGAAATAACATATCATTAAAGAAAGTATACAAATAAAACTGCGAATGTAGAAGCGAGATTCGTAACAGTTAATAAAATAATATCTTTTTATTCGACGGGTTTAACTTTTTATTCATATATTCGTTTCGATGTTGAAATAATGTGAAACATTGTGTAATACCACGGTATTCTTAATATTTTATCAATTTGTTTTTAGCAGAACTGGAGATGAAAGTTAAAAGGTAAAATTGAAGCTAGAAGGAGAATTGCAGGTTAAATTAGTACAGACAAATAATTCGATAATATTTTACATTACTTATTCAATAAAATTACATTACTTATTTTTAAACATCACATTACATATTTTTCAACATCACAAATATTAGATATTAACGATATAAATATTTAATTTAATTTATTTGTACTTAACATCATGGTTGCTAATTTAGGTTGGTACAATCTTCAAATTGTATGAAGGCCAAATTTAAATAAATTATATGAATAGTATTGATACAATGATACAACAAATTTTAAAGCAAAGGTGTAAAAAACTAGTATTAGGTGTTTGATAAAATTCATTTTCTTTGTCACTAAATAATTATTGATGAAACTGTAATAGCTTCGTTGAACAAAATTAATACAAAAACTTACAAAATTAATTGCAAAAAGGTAACAATGGCGCAAAGGCAACAGTCACGAATCCATGAGCAAGCATCCAAATGTTAAGAAGCACATTAATACCGCATTAGAATCCGAGAATTCGTGTTTCGAAAGGATCGAAGTATGCGTCGAACCCAGAAAGATCACGGTAATAGTAATTTTTCCGTAAAGACCATCGAAGGACGTCGAGGTGAGAGTAAGAAGAGGAAAAAGATGAGCAACGCTGATTCGAGAAAAGAGAAAGAAGAGTAAGAGCGCGTGGTACCTTCGATCAATCTTGGTTCTAGACGGTTATCCATCGATGAAAACGCGGCGAAAGTGGGGAAGAAACATTGGGTGTAGTGGGGCCAATGGGGTATACCCCCGTGGTGAGTTGCTGAAGAGCTGCAGTGTTTCGCGACGGAGACACCATTTCAAAGGAACAGCAAAAAATAGAGATTACGATCTCCAGTGACGTTTGTGATTCCATTTTTTGCCAGATTTTGTGATTAGGATAAAAATGATCAGAGCTTCCCTCGTTACGATATTGGCTGTTGTGGCTGCAACGCGTGAGTAGTGCTTCCATTTTGTCGAATTTGGGATTTTACTTAAATTTTATTTTAATTTACTTAAATTTTGATGTAGATCACTTATAACTGACTAATATTGCATTCAACTTGAAATATCACTTGTGTAACTGCTAGATAATTTAGGTAAAAATATTTTCAAGTCTTTGTTGCAATTTTTATATGGAACATCGAGGTAATTTAATCAGACATGAAGTAATAATTGACATTTCATATTTGTAAAAATTCCAAGAGTCATCGAGTCATTTGGAATTCTAAACTAGGTATATTTGGAACAAAAAATTGCCGCAACATTCCAGGTTACTAAGTGGAAACAAGAACAGTGCATGCTAATTACGGGGAATAAAAAGATCGGTTTCACTGAAACAGAGATCTCCGACTTTCTCTTGATTTCTTAGCACGTACCGCGCAACACCTGAAATGCAACAGAATTTCCGGTATTGTAATCGCGTAGAACCGGTCAAATCTGCCTATTTAAAATATCTGAAACCCGTTGTCCATCCCATGAAAAAACGGTCCGCGTACGCACGGACACATCGAAAGGTATTCATTTCGTTTGGAGAGTGCGTAAGAGACAGCCGGACTGAACTTTCTAAAGCGTAAATGTCAGATCTACTACTTGCCGGGTTGCATAAGTATCCGTCGTGGTTATCGTCCCGGTACGCCGTGTAAAACCGATAAATTACATAAAGAAATAAAACAATACCGATCAGTAGGATATTCGTGGAACGGAAAGAGAAGTTGGTCTGGTTCGACCAGCTTGCATATATTCGATGTAACATTTCTCGCCAGGCTACTTTATATGCCTCTTGAAGCGTGGCATTGATTTCCGGCATATCTTGCGAAGTAAATGTCACGAGGAACATTGGAGAAATTTAAGAAATTCCTTCCAACTCCTTTCTCTTTTTTGTGCCATTCATTTTTGTTGAGTGAAAACTATTCACCTTGCTATTGTAACGAGGATTTTTATCTGTAGGATATGTAGATTTGATTATGTAGGAGAAACTTTCGGAAAAGGGGGAATGTGGAAAATTTGGCAGATGGAATTTGGGATTTGGGGATTTGGGGATTTGGGGATTTGGGGATTTGGGGATTTGGGGATTTGGGGATTTGGGGATTTGGGGATTTGGGGATTTGGGGATTTGGGGATTTGGGGATTTGGGGATTTGGGGATTTGGGGATTTGGGGATTTGGGGATTTGGGGATTTGGGGATTTGGGGATTTGGGGATTTGGGGATTTGGGGATTTGGGGATTTGGGGATTTGGGGATTTGGGGATTTGGGGATTTGGGGATTTGGGGATTTGGGGATTTGGGGATTTGGGGATTTGGGGATTTGGGGATTTGGGGATTTGGGGATTTGGGGATTTGGGGATTTGGGGATTTGGGGATTTGGGGATTTGGGGATATGGGGATTTGGGGATTTGGGGATTTAGGGATTTAGGAAATTAGGGGTTTGGGAAATTAGGAATTTGGGAAATTAGGGATTTGGGAAATTAGGGATTTGGGAAATTAGGGATTTGGGAATTTAGGAATTTGGGAAATTAGGGATTTGGGGACGTAGGAATTTGGGGATATAGGGATTCCGGTATATAGGGATTTGGGGATATAAGGATTTGGGAATATAGAGATTTGGGGATAAAGGGATTTAAGAATGCGGAGATTTGGGAATATAGGGATTCGGGAATGTGCGGATTTGGGAATGTGGGGATTTAGGTATGTGGAAATCTGGAAGTGTGAGGATTTGAGAACATGGGGATTTGGGAATTTAGAAATTGGGAAATTATGGAATCTGTGAATTTAGAGATTTGAAAATTATGAGATCTGGGAATTTAGAGATTGGGAAATTATGGAATCTGCGAATTTTGAAATTCGGGAATTTAGGAATTTGGGAAATTGGATATTTAGGAAGTTGGGAATTAAATTTGCAAATTTAAAAGTTTGAGTACTTGACAATTTTTTAATTTGAATATTTGAGAATTTAAAAATTGATAAATTGAAAATTTAATAGAAATATGAAAGTTATATAATAGTTCTCTACTGTAGCATTAACTGTCTCACCCGATTTATGCACTGCATTGATTTCTTTTCTTTATCGTGCGAGTAAATCGGTGAAAAAGTAATGGCCGTGATTAGCACTTTCATCGTTTTCACAACGAAGTTGCCACTTATGATTTTATCTGCATCATGCAATAGCTTTAATAACTACAATAAATTATTCTAGCAATTATAACCTTTTCAACGGTGTTGCACATAAATTCAGGTTAACTTTAATTAGAAATATTATTCTGTAATTTATTTAACTTCTTACATGACCCTTGAATTTCTCAATGACTGTTTAATTTATAATAATTGAAGAACTCAGAAATTTATTACATATAATATAAATCTACATATATTATCAATACTTAAAAATTTTCAGCTTCAATATTGTTAATGTTTCAATACTTTTAATAAATATTCAGAATACTAAAAATGAAAGGTGTAACAAGATAACAATGTAAAATATAAGAATATCAACAATGTAAGAGATTTCTAAGATCATTAGCATAGAAAAGAATCGGAGAAAACATGGAAGTTGAATATAGATGAACAACTTTCATTCACGCGAAACTTGTTTGATGTTACAGACGGTGCATTCAATTGTCCGAATAAAGATGGCCAGTACGAAGATTCAAAGCAATGCGACAAATACTACGAATGCGTTGACGGCATAGCGACGGAGAAACTTTGCCCAGATGGACTTGTTTTCGATCCTCTGAACCGTAAGGTGAACAAATGTGATCATGTCTTCAACGTCGATTGCGGAGATCGTCTCGAACTACGTAAGACCATCGCTTCTGTCACTATTTCGCAATTCTGACGAGTGTTTTAAGTTATAGTACACTTATAATTATTTTTGCTGGTATACTAACACGTTATGAGCTACATAGGATTTGTAACTTAATGTATGACAGTAATTAATGAGTGAGGGTTGTGGATAGCTTTAATGAGGAAAATATACAGAATATAAAGACAGAAAATATGTATCAATATATTAAAATGTATATTTTATACTATGATTACACTAACATAATTATAGGATATTTTAAAATGTATAATATTTTATATTATGTTTAGACTATCATGATTGTAGAAGATTTCAAAATGGATAACTTTGTGGAGTAAAAATTAGGAATTTGAAAATTTAAAAATTACAGGCATTGCAAGTTTGTAAATTTATAATCTTGAAAATTAGAGAAGATGTGGATTTCTAATTTTGAAAATTAGAGAAGTTGTAAATTTCTAATCTTGAAAATTAGAGAAGTTGTAAACTTCTAATTTTGAACATTAAAAAAATTGCAAATTTGTAGATTTGAAGATTTGCAGTTGTAAAGTCCAGAAAACTTGCAAATTCGCAAAATTGAAATTTGTAACTATTTAAATTTTGAAACTTGAAGATCTGAAAATTTGAAAACTCGAGGACCTAAAAATCTAAAAATTTTAAACTTTGTTAACCTCAAAATTTATAAATTAGTATTAAAATTGAGTACCTCCTTAAAACACTATTACCCTCATAAAGTACCAAATAAATCTACCTCCAAAAATAAAAAATTTATTTCCCAAAATGAAACAAACAATCTGTATTGCAGCCACATCACACACAGTTACCATTTTAATGGTAACACCTAAGGTGTTAAATATAATGATACAGAATATTGTCGCCTGATCTACATTTATCCTGAATAATAGTATCAAATACTGTAGATATACTTTTAGAAAGTCGAGATCTCGGAGCACAAAACGTTACCGGTGTCATTGGCTCTTGCGGTTTAATGTCCTTGACATACAGGATACAATGACGATAAGTAGCGAAAGTGATTTTAATTCCCGTTACATTTTCACAGAACCACCTCAGCCAACCAAGAAGTGTCCACGAAGAAACGGTTTCTTTGCTCACCCAGATCCATCGGTCTGTAACATCTTTTATAATTGCATCGATGGCGAGGCCATTGAAATCACTTGTACAACTGGATTGCATTTCGATGAATATAGTGGCACTTGTGTGTGGCCTGACAGCGCTGGACGTGAAGTAAATAATTTTATATGCTTTTATCATTTATTTTTGATATCGGATTTTTATTTTTCAAATGTCTAAATTCTGTAATTTTTAAGGTTTTAAGTTTTGACTTAAAATTGACTTTTCAATTTTGTAAATTTTTTAGTATCCAAATCTTAAAGCTTCCAACCTTCAAGTTTTTTAATCTCTTAATCTCCAAATCTATAAATCTTCAAATGTCCAAACTTCCAAATTTCTGAATCACCAAATCCTCAAATCTTTAAATCTCTAAATCTCCAAATCTACAAATCCACAAATCCCTAAATCACTAAATCCCCACAATCCAATATCCCTGAATCTCCAAATCCCCAAATCCCCAAATCCCCAAATCCCCAAATCCTCAAATCCTCAAATTCCCAAATTCCCAAATCTCCAAATCCTCAAATCCCTAAATCCCCTAATTCCAAAATATCCTAATTATCTACCTCCTAAAATCCTAAAAACTCTCAAGGTTCCAAACTCTAACAACTGTCAAATATCTAAATTACCAAATTCCCAAGTTTCCTACATCACAGTTTTTAAGCTTGAAATTATTTATCTAGGGATGTGGTGTAGTGGGAAAGAAATTGAAAGATGGATTCGAATGTCCGAAAGAAAGTCAAGTCGACACTAGGGGAATGGTAGTCGATCATCCTAAATTTGCTCACCCAGATGACTGTCAAAAGTTCTATGTTTGCCTCAATGGTGTGACTCCGCGTGAACAAGGTTGTAGCGATGGTACTGTTTATAACGAGGAACAACAAAGATGTGACGCTCCTGAGAACGTTCCTGGATGGTATGCATAAAAGATAAATTAGTTAATAAGAAATAATAAACAATGGAGGTTTTAATGTTTTTTTTTAAGAATACTAAATTAACTTTAATAGGTGATACTGTTTGTATTCGAGATAAACGTTTCATGACACTCAAATCTGTAATGTATAATAACTAGATTATATTTAATATTATTATTTTATTTGCAGTGAGGATTGGTACAAGGATGACGACAAGAAACCATGAAGCACCTTCTAAATTAATATGTCCCGCATCGGGATTCAAATTCATCGTAAAATCACGTCATCCTCGTTTAGTGTGTATTCATGTGTGTGCTTAGAATGTTCATAAATAATAAATTCTATTTTACCTTAATTTTATTACCTTAATTTAATACCTTCTTCATTCCGGTTTCTCTCGTAACGTCCAAAATTATTAAACGTTGAAAAAGAAATGATTGGATATAATATTATATTCGTATTTATTGAAATCAAATTCAGCTATTAACGCAAGAATATATTTCATTCGTTCGCGAAGATATGCGTATAAAAACAAAATATCATTCACTTTTCTGTCGCAACCGACGAAGCGAATCGATAGTAACTTTCTCTTGAACGTCTTGATATTTCTTGTTTCTAAATTCACCGAAGACAACTTTCTTGTTGATGTACTTTTTCAAACATGCATAATAACTCGTTTTCTGTTAGCAACAATTTATATGGTTACGTGCATCGTTCTCTTAACTTTCATTTATAATCTAAGAACGAAAAGAAAGTAGAGTGTATGCAAAATTAGTAAGAAATTGTATCACAATTATATTCAATTAACGTTTTCGTTAATTTACAACTTAATTACATGTATTTAATGTCGTATGTACAAACTGAAGCATTTGTTTATTTTTTTTCCAAGTAATCAATTTTGAAGAAAGGTGTTACCGATCGTTGGTAACAAGACCTTATTTATATTTCAATGTGAAATATTCACTCGATTCTATTCATTGTTTTACACTTTATTTATAAAAATATATTTTAATTTTTATACGAAATTTTATTTTGAAATTTTTTTATAAACATATAATTATGCGATGGTGTTTTTTAATGCATAATTATACTATTTCTTTACATTTTCAGTATCCTTTTGTAGAATACTAAACTGAAAGAAGAATACTATTAATCATTGATAAATCTCAACTATAATTACTTTTAGTTCAGTTTTAAAATAATCGATTTTAAATATTTAAAAATTTTTATTTTCGCGCAATCCGACAGATGGCGCATGCGACGACGCTGTGTTCGCGCGCGTTTTATCCGTTGAGCCTGTGCATCGATCATTCGTCAAAGTGGACACGAAGCGGACGTTTGAATTTTTATTTTGTGCATCGTAATTTAATTGTTGTCCAGCTTTTACGCATTTATGCACTCAGTAAGTTAAATTTATTGTGTCTTTATAATTACTCAACATTTTGAACTGTTATATTCAATTAATAAACGCGAACATTCCAAATATTAACTTTTTGATGAATCCGCGTCTTTAACCGTCCGTTACGCGTAGACATTTTTCTAGAAGCTTCCTTGCGTACGTTTAACATTGTATTAATATAAAATTAACTGTATTTCGTAATAAATATTTAAATGTTATTACTTAGTATTGCACGATGGTTTTATTTTTGGAATTAGAATAATGTTTTTGTAGAAAATATGAGCTTTAACGGTTTATAAAAAACGGTTTATAAAACAAGTATAAAAATGGAGGGAAATGAAATCTTTTGAACCGCCATGTTAGTACCTGTTTCAAATTTTTCGTAACGGTAATAATGAAGTTATAGAACTACAATAAAATTACATTATTTTTGTCTTATTACCTTCTTATTTATTTTGTAATATATTATACCTTAAAATTTATTTATTTTTCCAAATTTTCAAAGCCAATTTCTTGTATTTATTAAAAGGTATTCATTGATATATTGTAGTTTCTAACTTTTTTTTATTTTAACAGGTAATACAAGTGGTATACATCAGTGCTTACAATTCCTGCTACAGTATATCAATTCCTGCAACAGTATATCAATCCCTGCAGCAGTACATCAATTCTTGCAGAATAGGTGTAACCGGTGATGTACTTTTTCTACATTTAATATTATTTATTTTTCATTTGCATGCTAGCTTAATTTGTAGTAAAAGCACCACGCAAGAGCGCTTACATTTTTAATAAAAATTGAAGGAACTCACGAGTACATTCTGCATGCGAATTATATTAAATTATTTTTTTTAAATATTATGACCATGAGCAAATTATTTATTAAACTTCATATTTGTTGAAACCATCTTGTACATTTATAATTCAATTTATAATTCAATTTATAATTCAATTTATAATTCAATTTATAATTCAATTTATAGCGGTTATTTATTAATACTACAGTTATTTATTTGTTAATATATCAATGTCTTAATGATACACAAAGGTCCATTAAATTGCATATTTCTTTTTGAACCGTTTTAATGTAATCTTGTTTACGAGACACATAAAAATTGAATACAATCCAACACTTCTTACCACATAAAGTTAGGGTCGTATGATAATACAGTTCGAGTTTTGTATAACTTGCCAACTGCTGGAGATATTTGTAATAATCGCGAGTAGAATACACAGATGAGTATAACCAATCTAAACTTCTCGACCACTCTCTCGATTAAACTATGTTTGCGTAACTACGGTACATTCATTTATGGTCGATTCAATCCGACCTGATATTTCTTGCTCATGGCATCGGTTGAATTCGCTCTGATTGTAAGAGTACTTTAAAGTACCGTGCAGAAACAAAGGGAAACCGAAACTCTCTGCACTTCCTTTAGGTCAAAGTCTAATTGCAATCAGGCTACTCGCTACAAATCGTTAAATACGTTACTGACACTCGATTGATTACAGAAATTGTTGAGAGAAGTCAAACTAATACAAAATACCTATTTTGCCTTTTAACTTACAAGGTCAAAAATTGGGAAAATTATATACTTAACTTAAGAAAATTTCATTAAAAAAATCGACGAAATGATAACATTCATTTAATTGGATTACACTAATTGTAAGCACAATTCACTCAAATTTATTTTTTGGATATTAAGGAAAATTTTGTTAGTAATATATTAATTTTTTAAATTGTCGAAGTTATTAATTTTTTCATTTTTTTATAATTATAGTAGAGGTCAAATTTAGAATCTAGAAGTAAAATATTTCTGTATTCCAAGCTTTGACTTTATGAAGATTTAATTATTTTTAAAATATTTAAAATATTTTTGTGACATTAAATTCATATTAATTTTGAAGGACTGAATAGTTAATTTTTTAGCAATAGAAACAACAATATTTTTGTAATAATTTTGTAAATAAGTTTCTAAAAATAAATGAGAGTTATAGAGTCACACAGGGTGCCACATAAGAGCACCCTCATTACACACCCCTATTATTTTTGTTTACCATAATAATACAAGATTAACTTATTAATTACCACAATGATAAGTGACGAACGATTAAATTATCACACTCAATTGAGATTTGATAGTCGAAATTCAATTGTACGATACAGGACTAGATGTGTGCACGTAAGCATACGTTTACTTGTACAAGGACACTCGAACCATTTATAGGGATAACATTCAAGAGACCAAAGAGAAGTTAGCGGAATAGTTGGGGTGTAATATTAGGAACACTTTGAAGACTAAAGTTACACCAATAAGAGAACTGGCGAGACTCGGAAAGGTCAATAGAATATGCAAATTGGCTTTCGAATGGACGACCAAACGTTCCCCTCGCTTTCAATGTTCGCGTTAGATATTCTCTGTGTTTCTTTCTGTCTTACCAACATCAAATAGATGTACAATGGATTGGTGAACTGGACCGTGGCAATTAGATTTGTCACCATTTTCGACGTGGCGAGTTAGGGGGACTGATTGTAGTAATTATATTATGAACAATTTTGCAATATGTGTTGTACGTAGAGAAATAACAAGGGAATTAGGGAATTTTTGGGGTTTTGGACCCCTAGATTTCCAAGTCTCTAAATTCCCAAATCCTTAAACCACCCAAATCCCTAAATTTTGAAATTATCAAGTTTCCAAATTTCCACGTCCTCAAATCTCTAAATTCCTAAATTCCTAAACCCCCAAATCCCTAAATTTTGAAATTCTCAAGTTTCCAAATTTCCACATCCCCAAATCACTAAGTTCCCGAATTCCTAAACCCCCAAATTTTTAAATTTCCAAATTTCTAAGTTTTCGAATTCCTAAGCCCCTAAATCCCTAAATTTTGAAATTCTCAAGTTTCCAAATTTCCACATCCCCAAATCTCTAAACGCCCAAATTCCTAATCCCCCAAATCTTTAAATTCTCAAATTCTCAAATTTCTAAATGTCCACATCCTCAAATCTCTAAGTTCTCTAATTCCTAAACCCGCAAATCCCTAAACTCCCAAATTCTCAAATTCCCAAATCTCCACATCCCCAAATCCCTAAATCCCCAAATCCCTAAACTCCCAAATCCTCAAGTCCCCACAACCTCAAACTACCTCCCCAATATACAAATCCCAAGAAATGTTTAAACTTTCGCCCCAACTTCCCCAACAGAATAACAATCAAATTGTTAGTCCGAATTCAATACCTCCACAATAAGAAAGATTACTATCGAGTCCGTTAATTATGCATTAAGTAGAACATCTCAGTCCGCCCCATTAAAAGTGTTCCTCCAGTTTGATTGAAAATACGTCGAAACTTTTCCTCGTATTCTTTCGGAAAGTTACTTCTCTCTCGATATCAGGGATTCTACGACGTTAGTTGGAAGCTTTCGTCGGAGCTTGCGGAAAATCTCCGGTCTATTTTTTAACGTTAGAAGGAAACGGTAGCCGTTTCGATCGGTAATCGATATCCGCGGAGTGCACGAGAACAACGAGACGATTGGTTTAGCAATAGCAAGCGTGCTTTCAGGTGTACGATTGCTAGAACAGGTGAGCGATTGGCTCCATCTTTTAGGTTCTTCCTGCGTCTCTCCTTTCTTTCTTCTATTTTTTTTTCTTGCAGGTTCTAAGTTAAAACCTACGTGTCTTTTCTGAATTTCAATTCTTGTAACATTATTCAGATACCTGCGTCATATCTTATAAAGAGCATATGGTGAGGTGTGTTTGTGACTCCTCTAAAATATTTTTTAAACTTTGCACTATGTTTAAAATATTATGAAAATTCAACCGGTTTATGGACATATATATTGTTCAATTTAAAAAAGCAAGTCACTGTAAAATTTTAGAAGATGAATTTAATTTTGTTTAATTTAATTTCGTTGTTGAAATGTATAACTTACTGCGGAAGTATTTTTGGTATTTATCATGTACCATGTACACAGGATGTCTCACTAGTGTATAATATATCAAATCTTCAATTTTATCCGCTCATCAAAGCAACTTATACTAGAGCATTAAAATATTTAATTAGATATTTCAATTATTAAAATTGTGGAGACTGAAAGAATTCGATATTTAGATTCGAAGTTATGGAACATTTAACGTATCGGTTGCTCGGAGCAAATAAACGAGGGAACATCGAGTTGACTATGAAAACAAGATTACTCATTATGCCTTTCGTTAAGAATTCTGTCCGTTTCTCTTTTTCAACCCGGCGAGTTTTCCGGCGCTCCTTCATTCTCTATTTCTTCGTCGGCACGCAGTCGCAAAGTTGGACAGAACTCGTTATCGGATAGAACAGCCGATTACCGTCCCGTCTCGAGTTCGTCCTCGACTTTTAACGCGATTATACGTCGCTGAAACGCTAAATTGCAGAGCGCGACGAGAGTTAACGCCTACGAAAACTGCAAGTTCGAACGAGCGACCGGCAAACGAATAAGCGAGCATAACCAGGGCTAAAAATGTGCAACAAAAACGAATCAACTACGAATTAATTCTACAGAATGGTCTTTTCAATTTTCAATGTTTGTTTCGTGAAAGGAGCTTTCGTATTTAAAACACACGGAGATTCGTGTTAATACGTGTTATACTCCACGAGGAAGTTTTAGGAATTCAAACACGTTTAATTTGTTTTTAATTCTATACGTCGATGTGGCTGAATGTACTCAGACTTGCTATAAAGCAAGGTATTGTGTGACAAGTTTTAGACAATTCTTTCAGTGTCGTGGTAGAAATCATTTCGTGGAGAACATTGTGTGTTTGGGTACAGCAATTGTTAGCATAGCTGGAATTTTTTAGATGAGCTAAGGACTGCAAGTTGGCAGAGAGGAGCAATGCGAAATTTATCGGTTCGTCTGGCAACTTACCAGACTTGGCGATGCTTTATGTCTAGTATGAGTAAGGGACATTCGAAAATTAGAAAATTAAGAATTAACACCTGGTTTATACTTTTGAAATTCAACTATTTGAAAATTTCCATCTAGAAGATGCATCAGTATTAATTTAACTACTCAACAAAATAATACAAAATAGATTAAACAAAGATCTACAGTGAACATGAAGAACTTGTCATCCGAATAAAATGTCTGTCCGCCTTTTCCATCGCTATCCGTCACAATAGAATTTCAATTTTACATTTAACAAAAGAATAACGAACAATGCACGCGCACGCGGCAATTTAACCACCTCGCAATAACCTCGTTACAGTAAATAAAACGGTGCTGTTACTATAAAACAAAAATGATCTCTGAACCATTAAGGTTGACGTGTAACCGATAAAACGGTTTAACCGAACAAAGATTCGAACGGGCTAAAAAATCGCGGCGCAGAAAGTAAAAAAGGCGGTGCGCACGTGAAAACATTTGTACTGAATCGTATATTGATGGAAACGCGTTACTGGCTGTTGGAGAGTGAAATAGAGAGAGCTCAAGAAAGCAATCGAGCCTGAATATTTCAAGCATTCGGAATCTGTAAATAGCCAAAACTGCTTTCTACCTATTTGGATAAACTATCCTCTTCGAATCCATTCGAGTAACACCCGACTTCCTAACCGTCTAACGTCGTAAAAATGCGCATACCTTCGATCAATTTACTGCAACGCTGATACCATAAACTTTCGATTGAGCATTCGCTTCTCAAGGGAAAATCTGCTCGTTCGAAAATTTG